ACTCCAGGGTCCAGCTTGGCACGGTGTCAGGGCACAGTCCAGTAACAGCTCCGGCGAGGAGCATCTCCATTTATCCACCAAGATAATAAATTCTGCCTCGGAGTTTCTCACCTGGCAACAGTCACCAAGGAAACCCGGACGGCGGCTGCAGGTCCCTGCTGGCACCGCGTGGGGGGGTCCCCACAGGCTGGCAGAGGGTCTGGGGGCCGTACCCCAGCCCGGCCGGCTGCCTGGGCTAAGGGCCAGTAGCCCGTCTGTAAGCTGAGCCCCCCCTCGGCAAAACGCCCTTGGCTCCAGGCTTGGCCCTCAGGCCACCTCGCCGGAACCCAGTGTGGGTTTCGCCAGATTTGGGGTGAAATTTCACCAGTTTTGAAGGTTTTCCCTCGAAACAGTTGAGCCCTGCCTGTGTGCATTGGGAGGGGTGACCTGGAGCTGCCACAGGCACCCAAGGCGGGGGGGTTCCCCCCGTCCATTTTCGACACAAAAGCAGCTCAGAGAGCTCTAGAAACCTGTTGGTGCTGGAGGGAGACCAGCTCTCACAGCCCCTCCAGGGCCACGTGGCACCTCCTTATTTATAGCACTTGTGGTCACGTCTCTTCCTGTCCCCTGCCCGTGCCACCCCTCGGCACGGAGACGGGCGCTGATGCTGCCAGCAAGTCATTTCAGAGAAACATAGAATCATATAGGTTGGAAGGGACCTTAAAGATCATCTAGATCATCATTTCAGCCCTGGTACGGCTAATTCTCCAAAAGTCTTCCCAGCCCCGTGCCACCTGTGATTCCAGGGCTGCCCATGGTCCCGGCAGGCCACCAGTGAGTGGGAAAGGCCATCGGGCTGGGGACAGGGCTGTGCCCCTGGGGCAGCCTAAGACAGGTGGGGTACAGCCACCACCAAGGGCGTGGGGGTGAACAGTTGCCCCAAGTGTTGTTGGAGGTGGCTGCAATGTTGGGATGGAAACTTTCTCCATCAATCATTAACCACAGCGTGGCTCTGGGGCAGCTCCCTCGCCCATGGGTGCGTGCCGAGCTTCCCAGCAGCGTGTGGGGCTGGAGCCAGGGACCGTGCCCGGGGTGGGCTCATACACCCAGGGCCACCCCAGAGGTGTGGGACCCCTGGTAGCAGTTGGGCATCCTGGGCTTGCACACCCAGGGCCACCCCAGAGGTGTGGGACAACTAGCATCATCTGGGCATCCTTGGCTTGCACCCCTAGGACCACCCCAGAGGTGTGGGACCCCTGGCATCATCTGGGCATCCTTGGCTTGCACCCCTAGGACCACCCCAGAGGTGTGGGACCCCTGGCATCATCTGGGCATCCTTGGCTTGCACCCTCAGAGCCACCCCAGAGGTGTGGGACAACTAGCATCATCTGGGCATCCTGGGTTCTCACCCCCAGGGGTGTGTGACATCCCACAGCATCTCAGCATCCTCGGCTCGGGGCTGGGTCAAGGAAGTGCTGCTGGCACTGGGTGGTTTAGGATGGACCGATGTGAGCCGGTGAGATCACTGGTTGCTTCCCAGCATGGCTTTTGGAGGGTCTCATGTCCTCGCCCCTCTGGACCCCACACTCCCCACCCGAAGCTCAGATGTCCTTGTGTGGCCTCTTCTCCTCCACACATGGCAAGCAGCAGGAAGCCTGAGGAGTTTAGATACTAGGAAGAAATTTTTCACTCTGAACAGGATACCTGAGGAGTTTAGATATTAGGAAGAATTTTTTCCCTGTGAGGGTGGTGAGAGCCTGGCTCAGGTTGCCCAGAGAAGCTGTGGCTGCCCCATCCCTGGAGGGGTTCAAGGCCAGGCTGGATGGGGCTTGGAGCAACCTGGTCTGGTGGGAGGTGTCCCTGCCCAGGGCAGGGGGTGGAACTAGATGGTCTTTAAGGGCCCTTCCAGCCCAGATCAATCTATGATTCTATGAAAAGTGCTTTGGGGCTGCAGATCCAGGAGTCGAGGCTTTTTTGGCTCCTCTCCCTGCCCCCATGTCTGAGGATCCCCACCATTACCCTGGTCCCATCCAGGCACCTGCTTGGGGTGGTTGGTATTTCTATTCCGAGTGGCACTGGACCTGCTGCCGCTCAGGGGGAGCCTCGAGGGACACAAAATAGAAGCAAGTGAGCAGTGATGTCCCCCAGCCCGCCTCAGAGGGGACCCCTGGGTGGGCAGTGGAGCCGTGCACACCCTGTGGGGACTGCCAAGACTCATCCACGCAGGGGTTAGGCAACCAGGAGCCTGGGGAGCTGCTTGTTAGAGGCCACACTAATTCATCCAGAAACCCCAGGTGGGCTGTCAGATGATGTCCCCACCACAAGGGTGGCCACCAGACACCTCCTGAAGCCACGGAGGCGCGAGGTTGCCCAGGTGGGTAGGACAGTGCCATGCTGCCCCACTGTCCAGGAGCCCCATGGCACTCCATGTCCCTGTGGCCACCAGCCTGGCCCGACCCGCCGGGATTAAAGGAGGTTGCAAGGAGTAAGTAATGCAAATCCAGCTTAGATTTAAGCGGCTGCCACGCAGAGGGGATGTGAGCAGGGGCTGGGCGGCGGGGACGAGTAGGTGACAAGCTGAGTGGGGCTGCCGGGACAGGGCCCGTGCCCCTGGAAGGGGGGAGCTGGGGTTTGTCCCCATGCTGGAGGCAGCAGTGCTGGGAGGTGGGATGGGGCACCCCGGGGGGAGATGCCCCCCATCCCACCAAGTGTGGGTGGCAGGCGCGGGCAGGAGGATGGAGCACGGGGACACACGGGGCTGGCTGGCTTTGCAGGTGCAGAAGGGAGGCCATCCATCCGTGTGGGGCTGCCCAGCATGTTCCACCTCTTCTCCCACTGCTGGTCGTGGCTGCAGGCCATCCAGGAGCCCATCAGGTAGGACCTTGCGCCTCGGGGCTCCCCGGGGGTGGGAAGGGGGGGCACAGTGTTTACCAGTGAGGACAGAGATGTGGTATCACTGTGAGAGCAATGGCCATGGCAAGAACCATCCCCAAAATGCAGAGCAAGGCACACGGGTGTCCCCACAGCCCCTCCAGCAGCCAGGAGTGGGGCAGGGAGGGGAGGGGGGACGGCAGGGGTGCCCCCACGGGAATTCCCAGTGGGATTTCCCCCTGTGCAGAGCCAGCAGGAAAGCTGCGGGGGGCAAACCCAAACACCTGCTGCACTTGCACATGTTGGGAGACCCAGGTTGGGAGACCTGGGTTAATTCCCCCTGTGGGACGGTGCTGCACCAACCCGGGCAGACGCCGCGGGAGGCCAGGGGTTTTATGGTCCTCTCCCACCGGCAAGGACACGTTGCCCTAACGCAGGAGGTGGAGCCACAACCACCCACGCAGCCCGCGGGGGTGGATGTTTAAGGAAGAAAACAACACGGCGAGTGACTACCGTGACTTGTCAACCTCAGGGAAAAGGTTGTGCACGTGTCTCCGGTGGAGCACGTCGCTGGAGACCCGATAGGAGGTGGTTGGCAACAGGAAAAACCTCCTGAGCCCGGGCAGAAGCTCGTAAAATGTTCTGGCTGCCTCTCCCTGGCTGTGTATACCCGTAACTCACCCACAAGGAAGGTCACCAAGAGCAATCACTACCCGTTTGCATATAAGGAACAACCTCTGTGGCCTGTGCATATCATTGCTTAATCCCATATGATGTGAAAAATAAATCCCTGCTGTGGGAAGCAGTGTGGCTGTACCGCAGCGCTGGGGTGGCTCCAGGTGCCTGTCCCTGCCCTCGTCCCCTCTGTGGGCACCTGGGACCATCCCTGCCCTCGTCCCCATCTCAACCAGAGCCTCTGTCACTGTCCTGCCCCTCTCCTGGCCAAAGCGTGTCCTCCGTGCTCAGAGCCCCTTGCCTGGGAGCCCAAGGGCTAGCAGGGGTCACCATTCCCCAGGGGTGACCAACAGGGACACTGTTGTTGCTCCCCAGAAAGGTGACCCTCCTCGTCGTGGGACTGGACAACGCGGGGAAAACCTCCGTCGTCATGGACATAGAGAGAGGTGAGGAGCAGCGTGGTCCAGGAGATGGCCTTGGCTGGGTGGGCAGCAGCTTTACACTCCTTGGCAACCAAGTCCCTGAGCCTTGAGGGACCGAGACCCTCAAGATACAGCTGCTGGGCTGGGGGAAACGTGCAGGGGGGGGGCACTGGGCAGCCCTGGGAGCAGGGATGTGGCTGGGAGAGGAGGAGGAAGAGGGACATGGCAGAGGGATGCTCCAAGGCTCCCTATGCCAGCTCTCTGCCCCTCTCCTTGCACCCAGCGCTGGCCGGTGAGGTGCTGCCTGCACCGCAGCCCGGCCAGACCCTCCTGAGGGTGGACAGGTTCGAGGTGACCCTGGTGGACCTGCCCGGTGGCCAGCGCTCCCGCAGCGCCTGGCGCAGCCACTACAGCTCAGCCCACGGGCTCCTCTTCGTCCTGGACTCCAGTGACCTGGCACGGATGGAGGAGGCCCGCAAGGTCCTGAGCCGCGTCCTGAGCCACCCCGACATCTCTGGGAAGCCCATCTTACTGTAAGGCCGAGTCCTAGGGGGTGTGACCTGTGGGGTTTGGGGTGAGGGTAGGGTGAGCAGGAAATCATCACTGGGGTTGTGGGGAGCATGGCTGGGACGTTGTGGGGATGTGACCTGTGGGGTTTGGGGTGAGGGTGAGCAGGAAATCATCGCTGGGGTTGTGGGGAGCATGGCTGGGACATTGTGGGGATGTGACCTGTGGGGTTTGGGGTGAGGGTGAGCAGGAAATCATCGCTGGGGTTGTGGGGAGCATGGCTGGGACATTGTGGGGATGTGACCTGTGGGGTTTGGGGTGAGGGTGAGCAGGAAATCATCGCTGGGGTTGTGGGGAGCGTGGCTGGGCTGTTGCGGGGATGTGACCTGTGGGTTTTGGGGTGAGGGTGAGCAGGAAATCATCGCTGGGGTTGTGGGGAGCATGGCTGGGACATTGTGGGGATGTGACCTGTGGGGTTTGGGGTGAGGGTGGGCAGGAAATCATGGCTGGGGTTGTGGGGAGCGTGGCCAGGCTGTTGCGGGGATGTGACCTGTGGGGCTTGGGGTGAAGGTGAGCAGGAAATCATCGCTGGGGTTATGGGGAGCGTGGCTGGGATGTTGTGGGGATGTGACCTGTGGGGTTTGGGGTGAGGGTGAGCAGGAAATCATCGCTGGGGTTGTGGGGAGCGTGGCTGGGCTGTTGCGGGGATGTGACCTGTGGGTTTTGGGGTGAGGGTGAGCAGGAAATCATGGCTGGAGTTGTGGGGAGCGTGTCCAGGCTGTTGCGGGGATGTGACCTGTGGGGTTTGGGGTGAGGGTGAGCAGGAAATCATCGCTGGGGTTGTGGGGAGAGTGGCCGGGCTGTCACGGGGATGTGGCACCCAGGAGGCTGTCGGGCGGGCCATCGCGGGGATGTGGCACCCAGGAGGCTGTCGGGGGGGTGCTGGGAGAGGGGCTGGGAAGGGGGTTCCACCACTGGGAATGGGTCAGGGCTGCCTAACTGCAGCCAAACGGGGGGAAGGCATCCAGCCTCCCCCGCTGTGGTGCGGGGAGGTGCCCAGAGGCCAGGGTGATGGCCACCCCCCACTCTCCCCCAGTTTGGCCAACAAGCAAGACGTGGGGGCCGCCCTGCTGCCCTGCGAGCTCATCGAGCGCCTGTCCCTGGAGCGGCTGGTCAACGAGAACCGCTCTCCCTGCCGCATCGTGAGTGCGGGGCTCCCCCCGCGCCGCTCCCCCCCCCACCTTCCCCGCCCGCAGGGGAGCTTAAACCCTACCCCTCCGCCCGCAGGAGCCCTGTGTCGCCCCCGGGGCTCACCCGCAACCCCCGCCGTGCTCTCGCCCCGCCAGGGACCCGCCGCCCCCGGGGGAGGATGCTCAGGAGGGTGCGGGGAAGACGGGGGAGAACCGGCCCCTGCGGCCCATCCGCCGCCTCCTCCCCCTGGTGAGTAACCCCCCACCCCGGGATGGGGCAGGATGGAAGGGGGGTCCCACCACCTTCCCCTTATCCCCCTTCCCCTGCCCCCAGGAGGAAGGCACAAAGGGCCCCGGGAGGAGGAAGAGGAAGGTGAAGGTGAAGAAGAAAGGCTCAGGGCAGCCAAGCCCAGCCGAGGAGCCGGAGGGACCAGGAGAAGTGGGTGACAGCCGAGCTGGGGCTGCTGGGGGGCTGCTGCCCCCCAACAGGGTCGGGCAGGAGGAACCCGCGCCCACCGGGACAGCCACCCCCCACCCAGGTGAGAGGGGGCTGTGTGACACTGCTGGCACCACTGGCACGTTGGGACCCTTGGGGGTGGTTTGGGGACCAGTAACACGGTGATGTGCCAGGACGCCAGTTCTGCTGCCTCCATCAGCTTTGCTTGCAGATCAGAGCAGGGTTGTGGGACTCTGACCAGGGAAGAGGAGAGACATCTCCGAGCATCTCTGCAGGGGCTGAGGCGTGGAGGTGATGGAGGATGGCAGATCCACCAGCAGCAGTCCTCTTGGCCGGTTTGGTGACAAACGCGTTCTCTCCCCCTCACGCGGCGCCTGAAATTTTGTATTTCTCCATCTAGGGCAGGGCATGAAAAAGAAAAAGAAGAAGAAAATCAAGAACAAAATCAAGTCGCAGGAGCCTGCCATGGAGCAGCAGCGTGAGGAGGTCTCGAGTACTTTTGGTTGGTATTTCCCAGGACAGATTTTGCTGCAAAGCACTTCGGGGGTGGGGGGGGGGGGAAGGTGTCGGG